TGAAAGAAAAACCCAATGGAGAAGGTTTAATAAGCACTTCAGGCTCTATCTGAAATTGGTGGCAACCAGCCCAAAGAAAGCCAATCACCAATCTTATTGCTGACAAGAACAGCTTCTGACCATTTAATGTGCTTAGCAGCTTTTCAGTTATCTCAAGTAGAGGAGGCAACTGTGAAACTGTTACAGATATTTGAACAATAATCTCTCCACATAAACATGAAGCTGCTGAAAGATGTTTTCAAGTAAAAGGCGTAGGGGAGAAAAAAAGGCTAGTGAAACCTCAGGAGACCTTCTTCTAAGTCAGAAGTGAAAAAATCTGGTAAGAGACAGGATGGACCAAATCCTTAGAGATGGGTGGCAGGGAAACAGACCCGGAAGGAGCCTGGGACATAGTAAGGAAATCACCCAGTGAAGGAAGCTGCAAGGGGGGACTTTGTGGCCTCACCACTGAACATTTAAGCACTTGTCTCCCAGACATCAATCCACATAACACAATTCACTATATCCAGAACAGACAGCTGACCTCTCTGCTACACAACCATAGAAAATCAGGAACCAAAGAAGGAGACCCATGACAGACAGAACCACAGTGCTGGAAGAAGAGCTTTTTAATCTAGCCTGTGAGAAAGCCTGAGGACAGAGATAAGGGCTGAAGACATTCCATTTGAGCTGTAGACCTAGTGACTGCCTATATTCAGGCACTCGGAAATGCTGCCAAGGGCAAAGGTTGGAGTCCAGCCGTACTTTTTTTCCATTCTGCCTGTTGAAGTTGCTCCAAGGTTCATGGATTTGTAAACAGGCCAGAGACAGCAAGGTAGTGAAAGAAGGAGAGTCGAACAGGGATGGATCATATGATGAGGAAGAGATCTGACTGCTTATTTGCTCTCTAATGAATAGTTTGGTGTGTTGAGGTTTCTCACTCTCATAGTCAGATTTACTAGCTTAGTTGCTACGCTGTAAATCCCATGTGTCCTGGCAGAACGGCAAATGAGGCCTTTGAAATGGCAACACCTGGCAATGGTGACATCATCATGAGTGCAGACAGATTTGTGAAGAAGATCAGGAGAGGTAAAATGAACCAAGTCTACAGATTCTGCAGTTAGGTGAATACCTGGAGCTTTCTTCTTGCAGAAGAAACTGCTGGGGCTTTCATCCTTGGGGTGTGCCCTGCTGGTATGGGAGCATGGTTTTGGATCTATACAGTGCAATGGCTTATACATTGCCTTAAATTGAAGCTCAATATAGAGGTAACTTTTGATGGCCACGGTCTTTTGGCCTTTAGGAGAGGAGTTGAATGACCCCTTAGAGGAAGAAGCTGGTGTGTAAAAAGATGGACAGCACTGGTACCATTTCTTCTGGCCGCTCAGGTCTTGGAAAGCCCAGTTTCAGCAAAAAACTCTGGATAATGAATATCTGCTGTGTCTCACTGAAGCAGAGCAGGATCATAGATGTAGCTTTGTTCATAACCTGACTTTGTGCAGGTAGCTGTATGCAGGGCACTTCACTGGCTCCATGCATTGTGTAATGCACCATAGATGGTACTTCAGGAAACCAAGCTTCCTTCCCCATAGCCATCAGCCTGTATGCCTGGTTCTGTAAGTGTATAGCATCACTGCTAAATTTAGCTGATACTCTTTCAATCTGCTTCTCTTCTTTCTCTTTTCTCTCATCACATGCACAGGCAGGTGTCTATCCCAAAAGAAAGTCAGTAATGGTATTGCAACTTCCAATTTTACTGTAGTAGCCATGAGATGTGGTTGCTTTACACCACTTCTTTCCTAAAACAGAGGCAGAATTGGAACAGACTCCATTTCAAGCATTTAGCTAAACAGCCAGCAGTGAGATTTAATTTAATTCAGAAAACAGGTTCTCACTAATTCCTTAAGAGTATTTTCATAATAATCATTTTCACAAAGGCACAGGTCATGACTGACAGAGATGATGTGGCTGTCACCAGCTTACTACAGTGTCAAAAAGTTAGATACCTAACCTACTGGGTGACTCGGAAAGCATTAGCTGCCCATGGATCCAGTAGAGCCAATTGAGAGACCAATTAACTAGTGACTAGAGAGCATTAAACTACTCAGAAAGATAATTTACACAAAAGCCCTACATGCAAAGCTGAAAGCTGCATGGATCTAGCTAACAAAAAGCACGAGAAAGAGATGTTTTTGAACACTTCTCTTCCAGAGCTCAAACATCTCATTCACAGTTGTTACATGCTCCTGTATGATTCAGAGCCTTTTCTCAGAAGAAAGCAGCAATTCAGTAGGAATTATTTTAAAGGGGGGCAGGGAGGTGATGGTTACATCCGTCTCACCTTGAAGTCATTGAGCAGTGCACATCCCATCTGGCAGCAAAGCATCTTGTGTAAAACACAACCACAAAGAAGGATGTGCTGATCCCTCATCCTTTCTCCCTGGGCCGGGCTGTGTGATTGTTTAGTTTTGAATGTGAGAGGAAAAAGTGAAGAGCAGAGGTGGTCCTTGGGCACCAGATGAGGTTATGCTTTGCACTGATTTGTAGGATAAAAATCCCAGTGTGTACTGGTCTCTGTGGAGATTGGGGATTATGTGTTTTCAGCATTCTTTCCCTCAGTTTAGGAGTCTATGGGAGCCTTTGAGCATCCCTCTTCACCCCACCACAGGAGTAATAGCCTCAGGACAATTCATGAAACACGACATGGCAGGTATTTACTAACACTTGCATAAACCAGCAACAAACAATGCCTCTTCTGTAGTTTGGGATCAATGGAACATTAAAACATGTAGAATCAACATTTACAATCAAACTTGTTGCAAGATTTCCTCCATCCATTCTTTAAAGTGTCTTTGCTCAACTTTCTTTTTAAGCATTTCATATAAAGTTTACCTGTGCTTCTTCCATTCATGAAGGAAACAACTTTCCTTGGTTGCTAAACCAATACAGTACTTTTTTAAAAGAGAGAAAAAGCGTTCTGGTGTCACCATGTAATTTTCCAGTAAGCCACGAGAGGGCAGGTTGTGCTCTCAATACAGCTGCAGATTTTTATAAGCAGCTGTTAAAACCAGTCACAGTTTTAAAGCCCGAATTACTAAACTAAGGGCCAGTCAGTGGAAAAAGGAATGCACGAGTCTTTGACCCTAATATTTTTTAAGTGCATCAGTCTAATGCCCTCATTGCTTTTCTTCCGGAAAGGAAAATACCTTTCCACTCAATTTACAAGAGAGAAAAGAACAACCCTCCTTTGCTTTACCCACCAGCTCTTAGGCAAAATCTGTTACAACAAGTTAGCTACTGTGCTACATTTCTGACATTTCTCCCCCCTTTCTTTCCTTCCTCTACCCCACCGTGGGGCGGTTTTCCAGGCAAACCCTTGGGACAGCATTTTGCAAACTTGCAAGGTGATGAAGCTAGTCAATCACCCTGTGATCCCAAGGAAAAGCCTCATTCACCCTTGGAAATAGCAGCCTAGTGTGCATGCTAAACTTTGGCATTCATGTCCCATGAAGGACAGAAATGTGTCGATCTCCATCCAACAGCATCTCTCTAAATTAATATTTAGCATGAACTGGTGTGTGTTTGGGGCTATTCACCCTGGAGAAGAGAAGGCTCCAGGGAGATCTTATTGCAGTCTTTCAATACTTAAAGGGGGCTTATAAGAAAGATGGGGACAAAATTTTTAGCAGGGCCTTTTGTGATAGGACAAGGGATAATGGTTTCAAACTAAAAGAGGGTAGATTTAGACTAGATATAAGGAATAAATTTGTTACAATCAGGATGGTGAAACATTGGAACAGGTTGCCCAGAGAGGTGGTGGATGCCCTATCTCTGCAAACATTCAAGGTTAGGTTGAGTGTGGCTCTGAGCAACCTGTTGTAGCTGAAGATGTCCCCATTGATTTCAGTAGAGTTGGACTAGATGATCTGAACCCAAATTCTCTGTGATTCTATGTGAAGACCCATAGTCCTGTAGTGATGGAAAACAGCTGACATCTCCTTCAGAAAGGTACATGGAGGTCTCAGACCCAGCTACAATCTGACACTGATCGGGGTCCAACTGATGTGATACATCATCCGATGTCCTCAGCACCATGTAACACTGGTTCCTAAACAGTAAAAACCCCCAAAAGGCAGCCTGGGTTGATAGCTAGGGTGCTGGGCTGAGCTACTGTACGAAAAGTGCTTCAACCTTTGACATCTTGGGCATAAGCCAGGAACAAGTGCACTGGAATCCCCCAAAACAGCAGAAATGGCACCACATTGTTGTCCACCTGACGCAGCAAGGGCTATCTGAGCGGATGGTGAGCAAATAATATTTTTTTTTACCCAAAAAGTCCACATTTTAGAGATAAGTTTTGTGAGTTCCACATATTCAAAACCTGCTGACATTATCTTTCTAGTTCATATAGGTAGTACTGAGCAGGCCTAGAAGAAATACAATAAACTGTTACTAACTGAATTTTTTTTATTCAAGGCTACAAAAGCAATGTTTTTGTAAGACTCGGGACTTCACAATACACAAAGTCTGAACACCCCATTAATGTAATATATGAAGCACCAAAGCTGACAAAATCTGTCCAGGATTTCATTTGGTGTATAAAAAACCTGCCTCAAGATAACATAAGAAAACCACTCAAATGTGGTTCAAACCTATGTCTAAATAAAGAAATATAGGGAATATATAAAAGAATGTTTAAGATGGGGTCTAGTGAGTGCCACATCCAAACCTAATTCCCCACCTGCAGACCTGGGTAACTCAAGCTGTCCCAGTTTCGTTCCCTTGAGTCCTGGGTCCCAGAAGGTAAAACACGAGTGCACATGCAGGTGTCAGAAAACTCCTGCTCTTATATTTTAGGAGAATTTGAGTTTCAGACTTTGCCTACTGTTAACATCAGCTTGATTGGAAATAATATACAGAATTGATCATGTTTCTGAAATAAACTGTAACCAGGGGGTTCCTATAGTATTTTGTCAAACCGCAGGAGATACTTTGAAACTTAAAAAAAAAAAGACTATGTGATTCAGAATATTTATTGATAACAGTAAAATAATATGTTATTCAAATATATATGCAGAGTTAATAACTTTCAGCACATCTTAATGCTCCTAAATGAAATCAAGAACACATTGAGGTGAAAAATTATCTTGATTATTCAAGTTTCTGCTATTTGGATTCTTAGCTGTCTTGATCTAAATCTATAGAGGATGACTTACGAGTGTCACACACTCCAGATAACATTTAGTAGTGAGAAAAATCTATCTTGTCTTGGGCCTTGCTCATATGTACCCAGAGACTTCACACATTACAATTCACAAGATAACAAGAAAAACCTGAATGAGAACAATTTAATCAGCTGCCAAAGGACTGTGTGATAAAGTCTCAGCTAAGATCTCAGTAAGTCAGTCAAGGTCACTTCCTACAAGAATAAGCAAAGACACAAAGCGAGGGCACTAGGCCTCTCCCATGTACTTTTTGGGGCTGAAGCTCACATTCATCAGTGGTTCAAAACCTCTTCTCTGCCTTCGGTGCTGGAAAAGCACAAGCAGCAGTACAAGCACCGTCAGAGCTATAAGCGCTCCTCCTATTGTGGATCCAACCATGACAGCCCAGGCTTGGGTTTCTTCAAGGGAACCTGCAAATATGAAATGACTGAAGTGAGGAAAGCCCATTATTTAATTTTCCAAATTACATGGAAGAAATAATATTTCCCACAACCTGATAACTATGATTACTTGAGCAGCTTAGTGACCCACAGGCCACAGGGGATGCTGGTAATGCACCATGTAACCAAGATACATACTACAGCTGGAGATGTTTCCTGCCTGAGAAGTCTAGAGCTGAATTTAAATTTCAACAATTTATACAAATTAAAGCGTTGGCAATGGGAAAGATTGACAGTGATAAGATAAAAAAAAACATTCTTTCATCTAATTTGGCCAAAGTTATGAATTATTTAAGCAATTCTTTCTACAATGACTTTCCAAGAAAGCTGCTTCCAAGCTATTTTGGTCAACAGAAAACCCTCAAATTTTCCTGTAGACAACAAAGCAGTTTATTGTCAAACTTTTAACTGAAAACACTAATTAGTGTGGTTCTGCTGACCAGCTCCAGATCATATCTGCTGATTTTGAACCACTTCTGAGGAACCACTGTCTTCTAAGATAATATTGTCCATTCCAATAATAACACTGCTCTACTTGGCTGAATTTTCATGTTTTTATTTATGCTTTCAGAAGCAAAAATTGCCTGCAGTCCTGTTCTGAAAAATGCTACATATACTGAGATATAATAATTACATTTGACTAAACATTCCCAAAAAGCTCTGAAGAGGACTTCAGGTATTTAGAAGTTAGCTTGACAAATGGGTTTAAGGAGACAGATGGCTCAGGGAGACATCACACTGATAATAAAAGCAACTGAAAAATCTTTTGCCCCAGTCTTCATTCTCTGTCAACAAAATAGTTGAGGGCAATCATTTCAAAATTCAGCAAGGTCACAAAATGAATTGTTTACCACTTTACCATCTTTCAAGATCCAGCCACATAATAACATATGTTGATTTCTAATGTGATTATATAAAGTACAATTAGCAAGTTATATATTTAGATAAAAGAGAAGGGTTTAAATATAAAAGCTTTATTGTCTAAACACAGGCCATGCACACACCCCTTCATAGGGAGCTAACAATTTATTTAGGTGAAAGATGAGAAGCAGCAGAATCACAAGCTGCCTTTGTTCCTCTCTGGATGCCTCATGCTCACGGGGCAGCTGCATTTTCAAAGTAGGAGAAGGGTATAGTAGTCCAAAGGGAGGAAAAGTTAAGACTCCATAAAAGGGGAAGTTTAAATTCTCAGGAAAAATTCTAGGGATGACCCCAAGAAAAGCATGTCAAAAGCTACAATGCCTTCACAAATCAGGGGTCTCCTGCATGAATGCAGCCCAAGGACAAGGGTTTCAATCTTTTGTAGTCTATAGACCTTTAAACAGTCTCCACAGATTAAAACAAATTAAAACCACAGGCTCCTGGGCTGAAAAAGTATTTTTTGATGACTAGCATTAGCCAGAGAAGCTCCCTGTAAGAGTGTCTGCCCTCTGATGGGTTAAAGAATCCTCTAACAACATTGGGATAAACAACATTGGGAACAGGAGTCAAAATCAACTACTCAGCCCGGAGGAGCACTATTCACAATGCTGGAGCAGTTCCAGCTGATGTGTTTTGCAGCAAAGGAAACTAAGCATGTGCAGACTTACACGGTGAGTTGTGACTACCTGTCTTTGCTACCATATGTGTTTGCTAGTGAGCAGGTGAATAGACCTGTGTGTTTTGCGAAAGGCTCCTTGTCTTATATATGCCTGTGTCATTGAAAATGTGAGCCAAGTCTCATCACTTGGCCTGGAACAGCGTCCACACCTCTGAGGCATACCTGGCAGGTCAATGGCATAGGTGTAGCCAAGTTGCTCCGCAGTTTGGAAGAGCTCATCATTGGTCACAGGAGGGAAAAATGGGACCATGTTGTACAGTCGGTTGTGACCGATCGGGGCCAGCTCATCAGGCCAAGCATTGTCGTGGGGCTTAAAACGTTTCATCCACTCATCAAAGATGGCATCAGTAAAGGAGTGAAGAACCTGCAAATCCAGGCATGGGCACACGCATTTATTAAGCTCTTTCAGAACTCAACAACCTTTAAAACACTCTCACCTAACGTGGCTGGAGCTTTTGAAAGAGAGAGAAGAGGATAATTTAATTTAGATGGAATTAAAGAATGGGAAACTAGGAAAGCTCAAGAGAAGACTAAACTGACCTCCTTCTTGGGACATTCTGCTGTATGCATCCTTGTTGCTGCTTGTTCATAATAAGCTGTTTCTCCAGACAGTTTAATATCAGCTGGCAACAAATGGACAGGTTCACCTTCCCAGGTGAGGGACCACTGAGATCATTTAGGTGAATGTACCTTTCAAAATTATTTTAATCATTCTCATCTCTGAACAAGTATGGGAAGTTGCAGGAAATTTGATTCCATTATGCTCATTTTAGAGTGTGCCACCAGCTCCACAGCTCCAGGTGCCCATGAATTTGATCAGGTGTTGCTCAGTGTGTTTATAGGTCTATGGTTAACTAATACAGGAAAGTTGTTTCAGAAACCTAATACAAGTGTCTGGAGCAATTCAAACTGATTTCCTCATGTAACACATGCACTCGTGTTTATTTAATTACAACCCTGGAAAAAACTTGGAAAATATCATATAGAAAATAATCTTGTGTATAAAATTACAGCATAGTGAAATAAAGTTGACTGTGAAAGAAAGAAAGTAATGTAGGAATTAAAGAATTATTAAGGAAATAATCTAGAGAACACTACATAATTATTTGGACTACTTTCTCCAATAAAAGATTGCAAACAAAATATAGGTAAGAAAGAAAAAAATATGTCTAATATATAGATGTAATATATAAAGAACTTATATATAATGACTAGGTTTAATCTAACAAAAAGGAAAATAAATTTGCATTAATTTATTAGGAGAGAAACACGTATAAGCAGAGTCAACTGCTGGCTTTTTATGTGCACACTGCTGTTTGTGCTGGCCATTGCAGTGCAGCACTATACTGATGCACCAGTGAAACCACATTATTTCTATTTCCCAAGAGACCCTGATATTAGATGTGCTTCCTTGTAGCCTGTAAATTTTGAAACAAAGAAACAAACTACTCAGTCTACTGCTTTAAATTAACTAGCCCCACTTTCAGTTTACCTTGTTGCTGTAAAATTGTCTGATATAAGCCATTTAATTTAGATACCATGTAATGAAAGGATTCAGAGCAATGTGACTTGGAATAGCAGCTCTTTTCCTCAGAATCTTATTTTATATTTTACAAATCACCCCGAGATTTCTTTCCTTTTTTATTTGACTATTATGCAGGTGTGGCAGTGTTCAAGAAAAAAGATCCTTCTTTTCTATTAAAAGACAAATTTTTAGGGAATTAATTTTCCTTGTTCTGCAAACCTCTGGTGAAAAAGGTGCCTTTGAGCCACAACTATTGCCAGTCATGCTGGGGGTAAAAGACCTACCACAAAGATGGGATCATTGGCAGCTGCATGAGGAAGAGCACTGGTCCCATTCAGGAAGGAGTGAGCCAAGTTATGAAGGCTCAGCATTGACGAGTTCAAGGCTCCATCTGGTTTATCGAAGCCCTCCAGCGCATTCCTGCAGATGGGTAAAAGCACCATCAAGGAACCATATTTGGCTGACAAATGTGCTCATAAAGAAAACCAGCGACCCAGACGGCTCTAGAGGAACTGAAGGACAAACCTGAAACTGAAACTGGAATTGCGGAAGAAGGGGGGCCTGTCGAACTCCTGCAGCGATAGGCACCTCCTGACATCCTCCATGGTGGGCAGCTGCTCACTGGAGCCCTTGGGCGGCCTCCGCCGCAGCGGCCCTTCATCACTCCCGTTGCACAGCGTGACCAGGCGGTTGTAGTCGTCCAAGCTGAGCAAGTAACAGAAAGAGGCACAAGTTAGAAGAAGGTGATGACTTGTTTGTTGGCTTTTTCTCTTGTAGTATAAGAGGCCTCAGCTCTCATGTGAGAGAGCAGAGGCTGGGGACAGACACCTCCTGGCACATGTTGGTTTACCTCCCGTGGGAGATGAATTTATTGCAAGACTGTCACCATGCCATGGTTTTCTGTGGCTCTGAATCCTCTGTGGACCATCAGTCATTTGGACCAAGAGCTACCAGGTTCATTGTCCACAGAGATAGGATGCTTTTAAAAAGGGAAGCACAAACTCCCGTCATGCCTTCTACCCTCTCAAGGGTTTTCATCAGGCAATCTGAAACAGTCTTTTCAATTTTGAACTGAGAAACTTTCACTCCTGAGTAAGGACTACTTTTTTTAACTCTTAGCAAAAAGGGAAAAAAACCCAGACAAAGAAAACAGGAAAGTTCCACTGTGGTCTGAGCTAAGAAAATGCAATAAATGACAGAAAACAGGATTTCACTTTCCATCTCTCATCCCCTTTAGAAGAAAAGCAACTACAACTCATTACATCCTCTTTTTTCAGGGCCTGGAGAACATCTTGCTGATACAGGGGTTGCCCAGTAGCTAATGCGGATCAAGTCCTTCATATCAGGGAGAGAAAGAGGGAAGGAGGAGGAGAAAAACACTGTAAGACTTCTGGAAAAAAAGAAAAATCTGTCTTATTCAATATGAAATGAAACAGCATTTTCAGAAACTCATGAAGTAAACAAAAGGTCTTCCCTGTTTAACCTTGCCAACACAAAAGTTTAGTCACTTCAGTTTTCAAGAAAAAAACAAAGCTCTATTTATCTTACAGAAAAAGTCAGGGCAAGATTTAAAGCCAACTGGTGCCTAAAGCTGGAATTTCAAGTAGCTCTTTAGATATCCAAAGATGCTCTTCTGAAAAGGCCCGAATTTTTGGTACTTTTCTGTCTGACTGACTGCATGCTCCCCCTGAGCTGAGAGAAGAATGATATATGGGTGTTGTAACCAACAGCATCTTATGTCACAGCGGCCCAATCCTGCATTTGAATCCCCCATCAAAGCGCTGCTCTCATATGAATCAGTATCTGCCTACAGAGAGCTGGCAGCAAGCTCCTGGCTGGCTCTGTGCTGTTTTTCATGTGAAATCTCAGACACTTTGAAGTCAATCTCAAACTGCACTAAATATATCAGGGTTAAGGTCTCACCTAATAGAAGGGAACAGAATTTTTAACCTATCTCCAGCTTTGTGTACACCAAAACAGTTTTCTGTTTCTGCTGCCGAGATCGGTTGGACGTATATTACAGAGAATCAACACACAGGCACAAAATCTATCTTTTTTAGAAAGATACTTGCCAAAGTGTAAGCTCTTCAGACCTTTGCAGCCATAAATTGGCTGAATCAACTAAAATTCTGTACCAGAAGTATAATTTTTAAAAAATATACTTCCATAATACCGGGTGAGAAAGTTTACACAGCACATCTACACACAAACTGACAGTGATTTCCAGTTTTAAATAAGACCTCTTGGCTCTTTTCCTGCTACTCACTCACACTGAGAGAGCAGCCCATGCTGTGAATGCTGAATGAAAGCAAGGATTGGTCAGCATGCAAGCTTGCCCTAGATATTTTCATACCTGTTACAAACTACTTGCCAACGGGAGAACCTGGAGCTCAGGTTGATCAGCCCTGGGTCATCAGGCCGCGATGCTCCAAAGAGCTGGTCCGTGCAGATGTCACACTCATTTCTACCCGTGGCGAAGTTCCAGTAAGGCAGCGCAAAGGAGTCGTTGCCCATCAGTCGCTGCAACGGACAGAAATGCATTAGCAGGGAATCACCTTCAAAGGAAAGAGAAAGAAAGGGATTCCTTCAAGCTGTTCACTGGGTATTCACCAGATATTTCACTGCATATTCTGCTTTTAATTCTGCATTTTAACTACATGCATTTCACAGTGCTGCTCCAACTCCTTTCAAAAGATTGGGGTGTTAAGTCAGTCTAAGCGAAGTCATTGTCACTAGTTTCCCTACTGTGGGACTGCACTTCTTTTGGCCATGTTAGGATTTCTGCCAACTCAGAGACCAGGCAGAAGAGCAGAAGCAGAGATGAATTGAGCCTTAAGCAACTAAGAGGCTTTCTAAGTGATGTAAGTGGGTAATCGGTAAAATTGTGCATGTGGTTGGCTTTCGTTCCAGAAAGGCTAGCCCTGGGGAGGAATCTGAACTGGTATTAATAAGGGAGTACAGTGCATTTGCTTGTGCTTGCTTGTTAGATACGATTTCACACAAACAAGATCCTGCAGCTACTTCAATAGCAACCATTTTCATAACGAAGATCGGCAAGGCTGAGATACAGTAACATTGCCAATGCAGATGTCATGCAAATGGAAATGAGTTAATGCTTCTGTAACTGACCATCAGGCATGTTAACATATATATCTTTAAAAAGATGTATTGATAAATATATGTATGTATTAATTGTATAATACGGCACATTTAAAGGGAGTGATATTTAGAGCTAGTTTCGTTGGGATGACATCTTCAACATCAGCAGACAATATCTGTTACCAAGTTTTACATTAAGGTGTCACTTTGATTTTGTTAATATATACTATTATTTTACATCTTCTGTCCTCTGTTGTGGATGAAGGGAAAAAATCTCTGTGATAACCTTCACATCATTGTTCACAGTGAGAAACTGTTCAGTCCTCCGTATCCTGAAAGCCCTAATTTCACTCAAAACAGAAAAAAGGATCAGTGAGCAAATACTTCTGGGACTTCAGGTAAGAAACTATCCTAGGAAATAGCTTACCCTTGGCTGGCTCAACAAAGTCACATAGCAAAAGGGAGAAGCTGCACGAGGAAAGGGAAAAGCTCTTCAGCTAACCTGCAGGTCTCTCTCCAGCAACAGCAAATGGTACCTATGCCAAGTGACAAAGGCAGGTCCTTGATGGGAGAAATCAATACCTTTGAAGGGGCGGCCAGGACCTACAAAGGAAAGATAAAATAGTCATTTAGGAACCAAACAAGGCTTGAGAGAAAGACAGCACCTTCTTTTATTGCCTGGAGTGGAGTTAAACAAGGACTTTCAGCTCAGTATCTTTGAAAAGAATGCACACATAAGAAGCAACATCACTTACTTGGAACAAGCGAAACAAACTCCTCTGGGGATATTTCGTCAGTCTTTCTCAAAATTTCACATTCTCTACAACGTTGGGTATTGTGAAGATTTCTTCCCACTTTAGTGGATTTTGATTTTAAGAAGCAGTTTTACTTTCTCAAACTCTAGCTCTTTGCTAATATATACCACATTATCTCTTTCTCTTGCTCAGCTGCAGGACTTACACCATGTATCTATCAAGAGAACCTCAGCATTTTCCATAACATGGTAACAATAATTCAACATTCTTTGCCAATTTTCTTTAAACTGTGCTTGTTATTTTTGTATTGTATTTTGCTGTTACACAAGAACTAAGATACCCTTGAGAGGCTTCAAACCACATATGGATTTTTTTATCACTGCAGCAAGCTTCAACCCACATATGCATTTATTTACCATTGCAGCGGCACTAGAAGTTGCCTCTTTCCCTTTCCATATGACTGTCCTGTTCCCTGAAGGACCTTTGCTCTCACTAGGGCAGAAACTGCTTCCTTCAGCCCTGCAAAATGGAACTACATGAGAAGGATGAACTGAATGAAACCCACTGCAGAGTAGCAGACACCCTCCATCAAGGAGATAGACATGTTCAGCTTGCACAGAGGACTGCCAGGTAGAAAAGCCATACCAGTTGGTGTCTCCTCCTGCAGGAAGTAGGCTTGGTGAAATGGGGCTGGTATAGGTACTTCTGCCTAGAAAAGCAATCAGGACTAGGAATCTGGATTTGGGAGAAAGCATGGGATTATATACCCAAACCTCTAACCCAGGTTGGTGCTGACTGTGGTTAGTCAGGCAAATCCCATCCTTAGTGACTTGCTGAAGACCACAGAAAGCAGTAGCACTCTAGTCCCAAATATCTATGCATGGCCTGTGCCTTCATCACTGTAGAGCCCCTTTACCACTGCCACTGCAAGCACTACTTTGTCCTGTGGACTAGAAACATCTTTTTGAAGTCAGTCACTGCCTGACCACACTTCAGTTCACTCAATGGTGAATACTGTGCACTGCCCCCCTGCCAGATGGAAGATGCACCAGGGATTGCAACTGGTGTGCTCCAGCTGCCACGAGGTAGGGGACCAGACCACAGCAGGTCCAAAGGACATCTCCCTTGACTATGGATGACCACCAGCTTCTCACCACTAACTGTTTTGCTCCACAGTGCTGTGCCTACTACTGGGACTCACTGCTCAATGGGGTAGCACAGCTGTGTTAAGCATATACCTTTGTTTGGCAGTGATACTCATCAGCCTTTCCTTTACCTGCAGAGCTCATTGGATAAGAAAAGCACTAACCCATTAGCGTATCTCTGACTGAGTAGTAATGAAGCCAAACAAAGTAGTTATAAATACTACAATTGGCAATTTGCGGTTCCTCTCCGGTTGGACCGAGCAGACTTCTCCAGTGCTGAGTTGCAATTACGTAGTCCGGGTGAATGGTTGTCTTTGCACGGTCTAGAGCATCGAAGAACTGCTCTCTCTCCTCTGCTGTCAGGGAGTGGACATTCTTCCTGACAACTGCTGGCTTCCTCGTGTTGCATTCAGGGCCAGTCCAGCCAAACTTGCAGTCACCACAGTTATAGCCACCAAAGTTTCCTGGATCAAGAGGGTACAAGCAGTCACGACATTAAGAATCAGGGAAAACTAACAGTGAAATGCAGAAGAATTAAGATTTAGCACTCTTTTCCCCCAGAGATGCCAGTTCCTGGAAGAGACAGGAGCTGAGCAGACTGGCAGCTTTGCCAATTACCTAACCAGAAGGATGGCTGGCTCAATTCCCAGAGCCACAGCAGGGCCAAGAATCACGCACAGTCAGATGGGGATGTGAAACGCTGCGTAATGGGCTTGATGCCCTGAGGTGCTCAGAGCTCTCCAGAGCCTTCAGGCACGTGAGAAGTCTCAGTGAATAGAGAGCTGAGCAATTGAGGTTAAGACTGTGATGAAGTGCTTTTCTGGATTGACTCTCAAGTACTCCTGTTCTTCAAGGATCAAACCCAAAATAGGGTCAGTTCACATGGATCATTAAGTAGAGAAGAAAATCCCCAAACAAAACAGTTCTCTTAAGGACAAAACTTAGGAGAAATTAGCACCTCTTAACAGTGTGTCACAAACCAGGACAAGCACCAGGGGTTCTGTTGGTCACGCTTTAAGCATTATTAAATGGTGCTCCAATAACAGCCTGAGAAACACTGCACTACTGTCGTTTCCTGCTGGCAGTATTCCTAAGGCAAGTTATCAGGTCTGCTCTAGGTTATTAGGTCATACCCTCCGATGTGATGGAAGAGTCCAGGAAAGCAGCGCTTGCTTTAAGTGTGGCCTCTTGCACACTGTGGCAGACAGCTGGCAGCAGCAGAAAGGCCCTGCTGCAGCTTAATCCCCCATTGGTGAGGGAAACAGGGAACAACCGACCATTCCTGCAGTGGACACCTCCCTCCTGCCTGCACTGCCGGCAGGCTGCTGGCATATCAGTGGCATAGGACAGTGGGCATTGCTGCCAGGGGAAGGGAGAAGCAGAGTGGCAACCACAGGTCCTCTGGGATCTCCACTCTATTCTCAAAAATCTGCACTGAGACTCCTTAACCCCATCCCGCCCTCCAACTCCCTGTACACACTCACTCCACAACAACCATGCCAATCATTTTCCAAAATGCAAGAAAATCTCACTGCTTACCACACATATCACTGCTGCTAGATCCAGGACAGGGTTCTGGCTAACATGGGGATGGGGAAGTGTCTTATGAAATGTTCCTGGATAGGCAAATGTCCCTAGGCTGTAGGCTTGAGTCTATGAGCACAACAACAGTTAACACTAAAGCAAGATTTCAAATTGTCAGGGGCTACAGAACTTATTACCAAATTCAAAGACGCCCAAGGATACAAGGGATGTTACCAAGAAGACTCTGTAACTCATGGCTGCCTCTTAGGGTAAGGGCTACTGAACTCTAAACATTTGTGACAGACTTCTGTGAGACCTACCAAGATGATATGAGGACTCCTAAATGTGGTTTTGGACAGCTTATGATTATTTCGGGGGCCCTGAAGTGTATAAGTTTACATGCTACCATGAAGCTTAGGGCCAGTGCTAAGGTTGGGGACCACAAGCATGAAGACTTCAACAAAGTTTTGGATCGTACACATCTTGATGGCATACCGTAGGGACAGTTTCCAGGTATATGGCTTACATTTTGTGCCAATGCAAGTAGGAGCAGCCAGGTTCAGCTGCCAGGTTCCATCTAGGGCAGAAGGCACTTGAAGCCACAGGTCTGCATTGGTTTAGAAGAATGAATACATACACCAGTAAAAGCAAGAAGGTTAGAGTTTTATGAAAGAAAGAAGATTGTATGGATATGTTATTATGATGAGGGCAGAGATGGCAGGGGAAACAGCATGGAAGGTTGATTTGATCACAATATCCTGAGGATCCCATCAGAACAGCTTTATTACTGTTATCTATTTGGTGTACTCCACTGTCTGTGTACTCGCTCATTCTTCACGGCTCAGCCTAGCAGTTAAGGCCCATCACATACTGTACATACTGTACTGACCAGATGACAAATATCAGGAATATCTTGTAACATTGCCAATTAGGCCATGTATATTGCTCAAGTTTCAGTCATGGACCATGAACTTCTGGAAAGCATCTGTTGATGCCTCACACTCAAAGGTACACTTCAACCCTTTTTAAGAGAAGGAAGAAAAAGCAAGAATTAACCATAAAAAGATCTGTCAACAGCCTCTTTCGAGATTGGCAGTAACACTTCCAGTCATTCAAAGGACCCCTCTTCTCACAGTGCTGGATAAGCATCATACAGCACTATCAGAACCAAAGTCAGTGCAGAACCAGGTTTGTCCTGTCTGGTCTTAGTACCAGAACCACTCACTTGTTGAGGCTCTGATGGTGCCTATTCCTCTTTCAGTCAGGGCCCTTTGAATCTATGCAGGTCTTGATGCCTGAAATCATTTTATCAAACAATATCTGTATTTTAGGTATACTCTATGTGCCTCCTCAGTCTCTGAAAAAACATTTGCAAAACCTGAAACACTGAAGCATCTACACTGGAAAAAAGCTTTTCTCCACCTCTGTGGCACTTGGAGCCAGGTGGAGCGATGACTTCTCACCTGTTTCCCTTGGGCAAGTGATAATTACTTCCAATTGATGCTTTGCAGGATTTTCTCCCTTAACCACCCCATCTATGAAGGAATCCAAGGGGTCCATTCTTTCCATCGCTTCCCCAGACACTTTTCAATATGATCTGAGCTTTTACTGAGTAAGCAGGAGGACTGCAGTGGAGACTGGCAAACAGGAGGAGATGATTTCCAGGGAAAGTGGTATTTCACACTGCAATATTTCTGCTGATTGTGTTAAACATGTTTGTGCCATCCTTGGGTCTATTTTGCAATGTTCTATTGTCAGAAACACACATAATAGCAACACTTTATGATATCAAAACTTGCTTTTCGTCATTTTCTTTCAACAGACTCCTTGCATCACAGGACTGTTGTTATGCAGCAGCTGAAATGGCAAGAAGCTGATGGAGATGTGTGAGATTTCCTATAATGCAAACAGGAATGACTGCAGTAATCAGACCTAGTTTTTTTTATGTCCCACCCAAACCACTTTTGCAGTATTTGTTTCTAAAGCACTCTACCAGGCCACTGGTCTGGAAATGATCCATTGCGGTTTTCAGAAAATTTATTTACCGCCCTGTGGACTTCCCACATGACAATACTGTGAAATGTATGTCCTCTTACAACTTAACTTCCATGCCTGCTATGCTGGTGATGGTGGACAATAGTACAGTTCTAGGAGACCAGGATATAGCACACAGTAGATATTTTCAGTAAGGCAGTTAGACCCATTAAAGATCATTTTGCACACAAAAACCATAGGAACATGCAAGGATTTACGCCTTAGCATTTTTTCACCTTCAGTGACTAACACATAGCAACTCAGTGTACTACCTCCCCAAGGCTATGCCAGGGACATCAGAGATTATTATCATCTCCTGTGGTTCCCAGAGAATACAGTGTTGGGGGTCATTCTGGTGCCCAGGCAGGAGATGATGTCACTGTTGGATGCTCCTGGTTTGTTCCCCTGTTTCCAGGAATGACCACTGTACTGTTGCTGGCCAAAAAAAAAATCGTCTGGGATGTCTTCTCCACTAGTCCTTTTGTCTGGATATGGGATAACATGCCTTGGGTGGGGCCTGTCTTCTTCTGTGACTAATCTCACCAACATTTATGGTGCTCTCTCTCAGTGAAGTTGGATGAATCTCACTGTTTCTGTAGGCACTATGGCCATGCTACTTCTCCCATTGGGTCAGTCCATGGGCATGGCACTGAGATAAATGCACTTCTTATGATGTGACCCTTGATATGTGTTTATACACATCATTTGTGTGTACTAACACTGGTCATTACATACCACTGCAGCTGCTTCTCGAGCCCAGACATTGCCTGAGATCATGGATTTTTCTGCCTCTTAAGGGTCATAACATGTGGTTGGCCTTCAGACACCAAACATAACACAAATTAGTAACTCCATCAACTCAGTGTCTTTTCTTCAGTAAAAATGAACCTACTCAACATTCATCATCTCCTGCCTTGTTTTATTGTATCAAGATGAAACCTGAGCAGCTGCCACACCTCTTCCTTCCACAGGGATCAGCTTAATACACTTCATTTATTGGATGAGGAGAAAGGACTCCTTTTCAGACTTCTTCAGCCATTGCATTAAAACAGGAGTTACATTAGATCTGAAATACCAGCACACTTCAGGTAGGATAAGGATTCCTACCATGTTAGACAAATGGTTAACTCTCCTCTCTTCTAGCTCTTCATTTAGACACCCTGATAGTCTGTAGGATGTGGAAGATCTGTACCTACTACAGGATTTAATGGGATCATCAAGGTATGGCTATTATTTAATACTCTCCCACAGGCACATTCTCCTACAATAAGTAATTTAAGTGTATTTTATAACTACTTCAGAAGCTCAATTTTATCTCATGGGATGGTCATCATATCAGCTACATGGCTTAACTGGCAATATTCAGCACATGCCCACATGTAAACCTTAGAGAGTGGCAGCAGAAAAAAAAGAATTATAATTATGTTTAACTCCTCAGTGAACTCAAACAACGTCATTGTTTAATCGCTAGCACAATCTGTACTAGTAACCACATGACTGACTGCAGTGGTTTTTCACAATAGTCTTCTGTATTGAGTTTTTAAAGTGCTATATCAGATATGTATCTGTAAAATGTTATCATCCAGAACTCAAAATAGCATTTAGTTCATAAGTCTTCTAAAATAATTATCTTCTAAATTAAATTTATCGCATTGAAAAACCGCTTTGTTGTCTAACTAGCTACACGTCTCAATATTCAAGGTTAGACTAGTGTATCCAACACCCTGTCTAATTCAACACGTACATCTTATTGAAAAACAAATTACCAAAGTGTCCTTCACACAGTCTGCACACTATCAGGATCTGACATCAGGTCATTTCAGTTTAAGAATTCAAATAAATTGAATTAATATTAGGTGCACCCAAACCAATTGTAGAAGACATTCAATTAATTCAAAACTGAAAATAGACAGGAACTAACAACTCTTTGCTACCTTCCAACTACATTAATGGTATAATCTGATATTTTTTATAGAGATTATATTTTTGCTGCAACCAACACACTGAGTGAAACATGCAGCAAGAAACATCCTGACAACAGATTTGCAGCTGTCTATTTGACCATGCCCCTCAGTACAAAAAATGGGAAGCAAAGCTGGATCTTTCTGTTGTACTAATCTTATTCCATTTTTCCCCAGTTAAAGAAAGACTAATGCATATTATCTGCTGAAGCCTAGAAATGGAAAAAAATTAATATGATCCCGTAACCATTATCAACATTTGCATTTGGGTTCTTTTTCTTTTTCTTTTTCTTTTTCTTCCCTTCCTTTCCCTTCCCTTTTTTCTTTTTTATAAATATTTATCATCTAGAATTGGATGGATATGATTTTAAGACTTTTTCCCTCAGTGAACAGCTTCAACCAATGGACAAATTTTCATTGTTCCTTTCTCCTTAGAGAAGTTTTTAGCAGAAAGCTCAAATTGACTAATTTATTGTGAAAACTTCAGAAACCCCCTTTTGGAAAATCCTGGCCCTGTTCCTCATAGCTCCTTCAGGTTTCCAACCATACAGCCATCAGTTATATGACATGTTTAAATGATACTGTCTAATCAAATAATCAGCTACATGGTAGCTGGAGTTCCCATAGGTTATAATTTACACAATGTCTAAACTCTAAATTAAACTGTGCCAAGATGGCACTGGAACACTACCATTTTTACTCTTAAAGTGCTAGAAAGAGCCTTGGAGAGGCTGGAGTTTGCATAGTCTAGGAACCATTTCAAAGAGGCAGTTTGCAGATAATACACCTTAATAGTAGAGATGTGCACTGTTCCATGTCCCTTTGAATGAGCATATTTAATTTATCTTACTTAGGTACCATATGTTACCTACCATTATGTTACATAGGTACCATGGCACTGGATGCCTAATAAATACCACTTAAAACTCTGGTGTGTGGACAGCCAACCAGTGTATAAAACTGAATGGGAAAAAAAATACAAAAAAACTCTAATAGACACAGAGCCACAATTACGAGCATTGTAAAAGCATCAGATCTAATTCAAATCCCACACAGCTCTGGACTTCTTAGCATTATCCTAAAAATGCCTTTGCATACAGCATCAAGTAGAGTACAGCCCAGGAAAACTTTCTGAAAATCATCCTTAAGGATGCCTTCCACCTTAATGTTTTATCACTGGTATATTTAGATTTAAAAACTGCAAGGAGAAAGAGGAATCCAAGTGAAATAAAAATACAGCAGCAGAACCCAAACTGAAAGAGCCAAGGAGAGCAGACAGTTCAGCAGAAGTAAGGCTGAATGAAAGAACACTACATTCTGCTCACGCATCTTGAGATTCAGTCCTGCAAATATCAAATACCATCTCTATCTCTACTTGGATAAGGAAATTAATGTCTGCCTATGCATGTCTGTCTCCACTGCTCTTCACTTCCAGGTTTTCATTTCCTAATTACTTTAACTGTGTAAATATGGATGTATGCCCACATGCTTTAGAATTCTTCTGACTCGGGGTTTGTGTCTGTATGTGATACCTGACTTAAGTTTTGGAGGTATATAAGAACCTTTAAAAAGAAAAAAACCTGTATCAATTTTTTTTTTTTTTTTGTAAAATGTCTGGAAAACTCCTTCCACACTCATATTTCAAGCATTTGAAATCCAGTCAAAGGAAGAGATAAAAGCTGATTTATATTCTAAAGTCTGTTGTTATTATTTTTAGAAGTTTCGGTAATGCCATGTATCTGTTTAAGTCATCTGGCACTACCACTCTGTTTCCAATCGATAAGAGCATTGGAAAACTTAACCTTTTGGGTTGAAATTTTCTGCAGTGCTGCCTTCTCAGATTGATCTGGGCTTTTTTCATAGTGAGAGCCAAGATATATTTTAGACTAAAGAGTTCAGCTATTTCTAAGAATCAGGCTGAAGGAAAGCAGTCTATTCTTCCCATGTTGGAAAATTCAAACAATTTTATGTTTTCAACAAGAAATCCCAGGCTTCATTTGAAATCTGCTTAGCAAGTGACTTCAATGCCTGGGATGTGCCTTTTGCCCAACCCCTAGTGTCATCTCCTGCCAGCCCTGCACAGCACTCTGGACTGAGTCTGCAGTTCCTGCTCATTTTAACTCTCCTTCAACCAGGGCTGTTGCTGAGAAAAGTCTTACCACCTTATCCTGCCCTGACCTCACCTTCTTACCCCCTCCCTCCTGCCAGCGCTAGTGAAGTGGTCTTATTAAAACCTTATTCCAGATCCATTTCACCTCCAGTCACCAGTAAGAAGGAGCAGCTGGAGATGAGGAGAAAAAGGATGGGACGGCCTCTTTGGTGGTTATATAGACACATTTTGGATCAGTGTAAGTTGTAGACTTAGTTAACAATCCTGGGAAACACCCTGTCCAGACATCCAGACATTTTCAGTGCAGAGGGCTATATTGTGCTGCAAAGTATTACTCCATGAGGAATAAATCTCTGATCAATGCACACTGATCAGGTTCACTGCATGATTAGCAGTGACAGAGGTTTGAATGCAGCACTAGAAGGTCCAAAACCGTGTGGAGAAACATGATGGGTGGCTACAGGGACACCTCCAGGGTGAAAGAGGAAAACATAAGAGAAAACACTTCTTTGACCCTGCTACTCTGAAAAAAGTGCTGATAGTATCATAAACATGGCATTTCTTAGGAAATTAATAATATTTGAAGTCTTCTTGATGCCTTATGCCATCAGAGGTGTTTCTTGCCTTTGGAGCAAGGTTAGGAGACGTATCCATCCCCATTCCCTCCCTCCAGCACCCATCTCACCTGTGCACCGACAGCTATGGTTGAAGAACTTGAGGGGCCACCGTTCCCGGTCATCCACGTTTTGAAGGGTGTAGGGGCCACTCCAGGGCTGAGTGTCTGCCTGCACCCCCTCACACCGTCCCCTGCCCTGCAGGGACCCACAGATATTGCCTGGCTCCGTCCCCAAGGCTGGGCAGCAGCGCTTCAAGCGAAGGGCTTCCACCGTCATGCAGACACGAGGAAACTGTGCCTGTGCGGGACAGCAGCAGCTCAAGTAGCCCAGCCCAGCCCAGAACAGCCACCTCAGGATGCCCATTACAGGTGGGTGCAGGTCGTGCCTTTCCACTGGACCTGAGTGAGCGGAGCAGGGATATCTCTGCCGTGGGACAACTTGGCCTTGCCACAGCAACATGCCCTAGCCAACCAGGGTAATCCCTCTCACTGCTGAGGATGCTGGGTTTGGGGGTTTGCTTAATCCCAGTCTCTTAATTGCCTTGAATGCAGTTCTAAAGGTGCTTTGACTCTCTGGTGCCTGCCCAGCAGCCACGGCTTTGAGCAGGATTTATATAGAAGCTGGGAGAAGCCCTCATTAGAGGGATTAGCACGGCATAAATCCTCGTGTTTTGCACATGACATCAAGGGCAGAAAAGATGCCAGTGTGAAAGTAAGTTCTGCAGACTCTGGCAGCTTGTCAGGAGAATGAATGCCTCAGATTTATTTTGTCAAGTCTTTTATGAGCTTTGAGAAATTGACAGTCTTGTCTTAGTTGAGGTGGCTAGATAAACATGTTTATTCTTTTAATCAAAACCCTGTAAACAGAAATAAATAGAAGAGGAAACCTCTTTTCTTTTAGTTCATTCACTGCGAGATAATACTTTCCACTAAAGCAGCCACAGTAGAAAACTAACTGGAAGTGCAGAGGATATAGGTGCCTCATCAACAAAAATTAATAAATATGATAGTATAAGTTTGAGATGGAGACTCCACCTGCCAACCACAGAACTCCAATGCTTATAATGAAAACATCTGAGTGGCAAGTGGAGAAGGATTCCCTTCCTAATAGCCTTTTTTGCATGGAAAATAAATTATTTAATTGTTTTTAAAGGGTGAGTGGTCATTGTTTGCTCTCTAATACTTTCCCCATCATTACACCAGAGGCTGTTTTGGAGCTGGTCTGGCTGTTGGACTTTCAAAACCATCACAGCTGAGCATTTATTACCCACCTAGCAGGAGACAGTCTATGAGATCAATACACACAGCAGACATGCATGCAAGTGATTCTGTTCAGAACATCGACAAAAATAACTTTTAAAAGCTCCTAGTACGCAGCAGTTCTTGCCCACAATGCAACCCTTGTGTGCTAGAGGAATAAAATTAATAAATCAAAATAAAGTAGGTATAAGTGATTCTGTGAGTCTGAAGCAATAGCTATCAGTTCAGGTCCATCATAATAAACAAAACCAGGCAATTCGTCCCGGTTCACTGAAAGGTTTCACTACCTTCCCACTCTGTTGTTTAGCCATTTTTGTAAGCATGTATAATGAAAACTGCCATGGTTGTGTCTGTGCTATTCAATATTTCAATGGATGTTCAACCACACCATTCTGGCACAAGAAGTCTATGTTCTCTGCGGCCAGTTATTGCCATCATGCAGCTAAAGAGTTCATCCACACTGCGGACACTGTCATCAGCACTTTCAGGTTCTCAGATCTTTATATCAAAAACTTATTGTTTGCCAGACAAATTGAAATATGATTCTACCTCATTTATGGAGGCACAAAGCAAATTGGCAATACCATGTAGTCTGAAATGGGTTTCAACACATCTCACTTTGGATTTAGTTTACCTGGAACTGACTTTTGCCTGCTGCTCTTGACACAACACGTGAAAAAGACAGAAAGTGTGAATAGTGGCTGAAAAAATATGTTGAAGAAACTCAGGAGTTATAAATGGAAGCACTGATTCAAAAACCCTCTGCACAACACTCTTTTTCATACTACTCAGCAGTTGAATACATCTCTCTAGTGTAAGAAGAATTAGTCTTTGAACCTATGTTAGACAATGCCTTGCACCAAAGTTACCAACATACTCTCTGAAAGCAATTAAAGTGAACACATTTATCAGCATCACCAAAATAAAATCAAAACATATGGATAGGATTTACCTAATCTATCAAATCCCTGAACTGATGTGTCTATACATAAAATGCATCCAAGCAGCCATTATAATCAAAACTGGCTCAGTTCAGACACCCATAGGAAGGGTGACTGGCATTTGTGACCCTATATGAGACAGAAAGGGCAAGCTCAGAGTAAGGCGAGGTTTTGAGGCAAAAAGTCAAGGAGAGGCAAGAAAATGTGTTTTAATATAGTACAAGAGGAAGCAGAAAGAATGTGGTGAAAAGAAATAGCAGGCAGAGGATAACATGGAAATAACTTGGTGTGCAGGTGGAGGAAAACTATTAGTAGAAGAGTGGCACATATGTAGTTTTTATTATGATTACTTCCGTCCATTACAACTACATAACTGGGAGCATGCAACAGCATGTGGTCCTAGTAGAGATGTAGCACTAGCCTCTGCTGTTCAGTAATGCATCAGCATTTTAGGAGTGCCTTTCCTGGCCAGGCAGGGAGCATCAGGACTGACAGAAAAAGGACAGACCACATCCTGACGCCACTGTGTCGCTGGCATTGGTGGTTGTCTGCTGCTGCATGATACACTGTGAGGAAGACATTGAGTAAAATTACAAAAAGACAGTTGTCTTTCAATTAGTCATTGGGAAAACAGCAGGCACTGTACATTCCTTAGCGCGTTGTTGTTGAGAAGCTCCCACATTTTTCCCCATAGCAATCACACTTAAATAAAGGAGCCATTGTTGGGGCTGCACAGTATCAGCACTATACCAGTTTACAAAACAGCATCCTGAATGACTTTTTATTTACTACGGAGTTTTACTCTGTCTTGAAAAATGAGTAGTGCTATGTGTTGGTACTACTGCCTGAACTATCAAAGGACTTTTCATGCAGCAAATCTGAGCACGCAAGTCATGGCCCATGATCAAAACTGTGCCTGCACTGCCTTGTCCACAGATACTGGGCTTGCCTGCCACAGTTCATAGCTGGGAAGCTACAGAGG